TTTGCATATTATTTAGTATTGTTTTACAAAACTCATTTTAATAACTACACTGTCTTCTATGCATGGATCTAATGGATCTACCAGATTTATAATATTTAACAATACCTCTACATAGAGATTGCTTCTGTTTTCACTAATATATTCAATGCATTGCTAAACAACCCTGTGAGTAATTATTTCCTGAAGAAAATAATTCTATTAAATGTTATTTTGGGGACATACAGAGCTGCTGATATATATGTCCAAATAAACATAGTATGTTCTCTAAACAAGCTAATTATCCTTCTGAAAGGATCTAGAACAATATGTTTACAATTTTAAAAAATGAAAAGCATAAACATTAACTTTGCAGATAAAATATAATACAAAGTTATACACAATGAAGAAAATATTAAACACTATTTTATCACTAATCCATGATGGTTAAAATTTTGTTGTCTTTCCATATCTCTATATATTTATCTCTATTATTTATAACTTTTATCTACATATATATCAGTCTCTTATTCATATTAGTTTGAATATATAAGATTTTCCATATTTGATCACTATTAAGCAATAAAAATAACTTCATATTGTTAAAAATATATCTACATAATCAGCTAAACCTGATCTGTCAGTTTTCTGAGTAAAACTGATATGGCAACAGTACCAGCTTTATAGGTTTTAGAGAATTAAATGACATAACACATGAAGAACATTTAGTTTCCGCCCTTAGTTCAATGCACCTGTAATATAAATGAGACATTGCTTTCTACATAGAATCAAGCTGCCTGATTCTGGAATCTAGCTCTACTCCTCATTATTAGCTGGGTTTCTGGGCAAGTTACTTGCTCGTATCTCCTCCTTGCTTAGGTTCTCTCAAAGATTTAAAGTAGTAACTATAATACCTCAACGTGGTGCTGAGAATGAATGAGATAAGGCATGTAAATCCCATAGCTCACAGATGGCACAAACTCCATTCACATTTAAGGGCCTTATCAATGAAAGATATTATCTTGTCATAGCAAAAACTATTTTACCACCTTTACTTAAAGAAGCTGTTAATGATGGTTGCTATTGTAGCCATTATAATATTAAGAATTAGTATTAAATGATATATGCAATTAAATCCCAATTAAAAATAAATTATATCATATTTTCCTAGTTATAGTCTCTTTAAAATTAGTTTATTTGAATTAATAAAATATGCATAACTACATTTTGATATGGTCCACTATGGAGACCATATTGAGTGTGCACTATTTTATACTTCTTAATTTATCAAGT